AAGAAAGATCTTGATATATTATTTTTGATGATCAATAAGATGCCATTCCTCTTCAATTTGCCATTCCTGGCACAGTAAACCATGTGACTGTCAGATTAAATATGGCCAATACCAGTCCATTTCTGCTCACTAATGCTTAGGATGTCAATGTTTATGTGTTCCCATTTCATTTTTGACAAATTCCAGTTCTCCTAGATTAATACTTTGTACATTCTATGTTCCAATTATGTTTCTCTTCATTTTGAGTTGTGCCTCATCAGCAAATGAAGGTCCTGAGAGCTTTACTCCCGAGGGCTTTACTCTCTTTACGTCATCACAGTTATCTGTACTTTGAAGAGGCAGGTCTTCCCCAGTCGTATTTTGAGTGCCTTCCAACTAGAGGAGCTCAACTTCTGGCACTATATCTCACAATATTCTGGTATTCTTCATCATGTTTCAATATTCAGTATTCTGGTGTTGACAGTATTCCACTGCTATTCATAAGGTTTTTAGTGAGTAAATATTCGGAAGTAGTCTGTCTCTCCTTCTTCCTAGTCTGGAAAGCTCAGCTGAAACTTGTCCACCATGGATGATCCTAATGGTATTTAAAATACCTGTGGCATAGCTTCCAGCAACACACTAGCCCCCACAGTATAAACACTGACAGATGAGTGGACACGCCTACTCCTCACTTGGAGTTCTGGGGTGGTACCTTTGGATAATCACTGGACTTCTAATTTCATGGTTGACAGTTCAAACCCATCAGCTGCTTCTTCAAAACCCTATACAGGATCACTGTGAGAGAGAACCAACTGGATGGCACTAACAACATAAACATGAATGGGATCACACAGTAGGTGGGTACACAACAGGTGTTTATCACTTAGCTTAAGTGCCTGGAGCTGTCCTATTTTAAAGAGCAAATTTTCTTACAATACTTCACGGAGTTGGTGGTGTGAAAATAAGTTTGCTTTTAAATTAACACCTGGAACATGTCCCACCTTTGATTCTTAATGTATAGCCCCTACCAGAAACCACTGCTGATCGTCTCGGTCCATCCAACTTCTTCTGCTTCCAACCCCACATAGCTTCTTAATATGTAAAGTGGTGAACTCTCACTTTGAGCTGCTCTGGAGAATGGCTGCTTGTTTGTTGTTTTAGGTGTCCTCCCAAGGGCCTCCAAAGTGACATAACCTGTTTTTAAGTAGAACAGTCACAGATGTGTATCTTCCACATTCGACTTTTAGATGATGACATGCTAGAGAGACAGAGAGATGGAAAGAAAGTGGATGTTGTCTAGGTAGACATGAGATTACCAACATGACATGAGATTACCAACATGCGCATGACAATTTGGCATTGAAATGTGCTTGTTAGTCCACACCACATTGCAGGGTAAACCAAACAACTGAGTTACTTGATAACATTCAAAATGAGGGGTCTAACAATTTCTATTGAGAACTCTGGATGCCTGCCTTAATGGCCCAGCTGTCCCCTCTGCGCTGTGTCTTCCTCTCTTCAGCTGGTGCCAGTTTATCACCTGCATTGGAGGTTTGCGACCCTGACTTAGACTTGGCATCAACATTGATTAGTAAAAAGGGGCCGTTATTTCCTTCTCTCTGAGTTTTAATATCAAGGTTATATTTACTTCCAAGATAAATTGGATTGTTTTCCTCATTTGCTTTTTTCATGATCTGGATCAATTTTATAACATGAAATTGATTGAATCCTTAAAAGTTGAAAACAACTCAAACACAAAAATGTTTTCGTTTAGAAACTATTTTTGTGGTAATTAATGTTTCAAGCTCACAAGGTTTCCTCGGAAACTATATACAGGGTCGCTATGGGTTGGAACTGACTGGATGGCACTTAACAACAACAACAACATCTCCCCTAATATGATGATCCTTTTCAAGTTTCTGTTAAATCAACCTTGATAATTTATTCAAAGTTTCAATTTATTAGCACAAAAGAACACATAATATATTACCTTTAA